TGGTATTAAAGGCATGTGCCACCACGCCCAGCCAGTCATGATTTTTTAATGAAGAAAATACCTACCTCCCCTGATCATAGTCTCAAAGTCCTGAGGCTAGTTATAGGACCTTATTGTCATTACTAATTACATATAGGAAACTTTAGAGAAGTTCAGTCTAACTTCTTTGAAGAACATTGTCCTGAAATGCTGTTGACATAGCAGTAGAAAATGTCTTTCTTGATCCAACAGGTACTGTCTGTAACTGCCCCTTTTTATTTAGCCTATAAGGAGATTCTATATGAAAAAAGATCAAAGAGGCATCGTGTACTGTTTGTTTACTGGTGTTTCGAAAGGAACATCAAGAGAATTGACAGACTTTTTTTTCCTTTAAGTATTTTATTTTTATTTTATGTGTATGAATGTATTGTCTGCATGTGTGTAAGTGTACCCATGTTGTGCAGTGCTTGAGGAAGTCAGAAGAGGGGGTTGCATCCCCTTTAACTGGAGTTAACAGTTGTTAGCTGCCATGTGGGTGCTGGAAATCAAACCCGGGTCCTCTGCAAGAGCAGCCAGTGTTGTTAACTGTTGAGCTATCTCTCTAGCCCTGAGAATTTTGATAGACTTTTTTTTTGGTCTTTTTGAAACAGGGTCTCCCTGTGGCCCCAGCTGTCCTGGAACTCACTATGTAGACCAGGCTGGCCTTGAACTCACAGAGATCCACCTGCCTCTGCGTCCCAAGTGCTGGGACTACAGGCGTGTACCACCACGCCCGGCTTGATAGACTTTTTAAAAAATAAAACAACTTTTTTTTTTTTAACAGTCAAACAAGGGATCTGTAGTCATTGCAGAGTAGAACTTGTAGTACAGAGGTCTACAAACTTTCTTATGGTGAGCCAGGTAGCAAGTGTGAGCACCCTGCACCTGTACATTCTCTGCTACAACTACTAACATTTGCAGCAGAGTGCAAAAGAAGCCACGGATGACAGATACATGAATAAGCATGCTGTGTTCCAATAGAACATGGCTTATACGCACTAAAACTTGATTTTCTGTAGCTTTCTCGTAGCAGAAAATACTCAATTTCAAATTTTTTTCTAGCAACTTAAAACTGTAAAGACAATTCTTCGTAACTCATAGGTTTAAAAAAAGGTGATAATCGTTGTTTGATATCTGACTCTCAGGAGTGATAGTCACACATAACGTATATAATATGATGTGGAATAGATCTGACCCATGACCTAGGGTGCTTTATGTCTCTCTCTTAATATCAAGAGAACTACAGAAGAAAATAAAATACTGTTTAATCCTTAGGGTGAGAAGAGAATAATAAAATAGTAGTTTGAGATACTTTACAGTAAAACATGATGAAGTTAGACCACTAGGGTTCCTCACATTTGCTAAAACTGCCCAAACCCCAACCACTGCAGTTAGCGGTTCCTTAAATTTAGAAGGAGGAAGAAGGTGCACTTGGCAGGATGTCTTCTGGGAAGCACTGCAGAGTCTTTGAAGATTCTAGTGGTGTAGTTTTGTGAAACAACCTGGGAGAATCTTCCCATTTATAAGTACACCAAGTAAAATGAAAGCACCTCTGTAGAAATGTACTGAGCTTTTATAGGCACTTGCTGTGACAGCATCTTGCCTCTGCTTTTCTTTTTTTTTTTTAAAATAATTTATTGAGATTTTCATACATTCATATAAGGTGCTTTGATCAAATCCACACCCACTCCCTCCGCTCTGAGTCCTTCCATATCTCCCCATCACTTTTTTCTGATAACTTCATGTGCACTTTCTTCTTCTTCTTTTTTTTTCAGTGGGGCTTTTTGCTACTCTAACATTCACTCCTCTGAAGAGGTAACCCTAAAATCTTTTAAGGATTAGATAAGAGCTTCCAAATACTTTCAACATTTTTGGCCTTTGGAACGGAGTATGTTGCTAAGAGGCCCAAGGCCATTTTGACTTTTAGCCAAGAAACTGGCTACTTTTCTTTGGGGTCTTTTTACCCTAACTGTCTAGCCAATTCCTACCTCCTAGTCTTATCACACCATCTTCTTAAGAGGTTATCCAGCTTGTGGATAGGAAATTGGGACACAGACTGCTTTGGCTTCTTCCATGCTGAACAGGGATGCAGGGTGAGGCAGTTGGGGTACCCCTTTAGTGGGTCTCTCCAAAAGACTCCCAGATTACATAACTCTTATCTGTAGGGGGAAAAGAAAGTCCATGACGGGTGAATAGGAGATGTGAAGGAGAAGTAAAGGCAAGAGTAATTAGCATTACAAGTTTTAGACAGGGAACTAGAAAAAAGTCAGAACAGGGCAAATTTCAGATGTTCACATGAGAGTCCATTGGAATTTCTTGACGAGAGTTTCTAAAAGCATCCCTCTATTGGGGTCCTCCACATTTTTCTTTTATCTGCCAAGGTTGGACTCAAGAGTAATGGATTCAGGATTTACTTTCAGGCACTTTGATAACTGTCGGAGTGGTTGGAATCAGTGTCAGTCCCTCTCAAAGGCTTCTAGCTAGGGGGAGAAAACAAACTTAGCCATCATTTTAGAACAATAGCGAGTTGACTCTCTTAGCTACAGGTGGACACTACAGTACTGCAGATCAAGATTTGAAGTCTTATATCTGAACAGCACTTTCTGATTAGGAACAAAATCATCAATGAGAAATAATTGTCTAAATAACTTTTTGTATGGATTTAAGCCTAATGTCTGGGAAGTGTAATCCTTCGAGTTCTTAAGGAAATATTTTGATCTTATACTTTCCTTTGGGGTGTTTAGGATGATACAGTTGGCCCAAATAGACCAATTTACTTTTTCACTTAATGAGGATCGAGGATCTGTTCCTCAGGGGTCACATGGGCTTGGGAGGAGCCCCCTGGCTCCTTTCTTTTACCAGTTACATCTATGTAAAGATAAGTCAAAGGTCCTGCTTGACAATTGTGGGCTTCACTTGGAAGCATGGAGGAAATGTTTCCTCTGAGTTGACCCTCCTCTTTGTAGACTGAACACTGGTTCAAGTCCATCTGGTGGGGTCTTCATGGCCTCTCTGAACATGAGGACAGGTGACTCACCACAGTTATAGTACATTTTGAGAGATGTTCCATAGTCTCCTGGAACTTAGTCAACCTGGGAGGGCAAGGTTGCCTCTTTTTTCAAGGATAAGTTTAAGTGAGGAACATAGTATGAGTAATTTAACCATCATTTTGAAGATTTAGCTTTAGCAAGATAGTTGGAAATGTTACAAAACAAAATATTGACAGATTTTTGTCTTTTCTCTTGTGTGAAGAAGTTTATGTGATAGTTTCATAGGTACACATGAATGTGTGTTCAGGCCAGAGGACAACCTCAAGTGTTATCAGCCCCTGTCCAACTTATTTTGAGATAGGATCTCATTAGCCTGGAGACTTCTCCTACCTGGAGTGGGTCTGGCTGGCTAGTGAACTGCAGGGATCCTCCTGTCTCTGCTTCCCTAATGTTGGAATTTACAAGTATGCACTACTACATTTGGCTTTTTTACACAAGTTCTGGGGATTGAATTCAGATTCTCATGCTTGCTTGGCAAGCACTTTATCTACTGAGCCATCTTCCAACCCCTATTTTCAGAGTCTTGTTTAAATATTCTATTATTTTTATTTTATGTGTGTGAGTGCATTGCCTGCAAAGTGTGCCCGTGTTGTACATTGCCCACAAAGGCCAGAAGAGTTTGTTGGATCCCTTGGAACTGGAGTTATAGATAGTTGTTAGCCACCATGTGGGTGCTGGGAACTGAACCTGCCTGGGTCCTCTGCAAGAACAGCCAGTGCTCTTAACAACTGAGCCATCTCTCCAGCCCCCTATTTTCAGTTTTGATTTAGGAATGGGGACTGGGATTTTGTCCCTTCTGCAGCATAGTGAAAATGCCCTTTCTTTCTTTGGCTTCTAACTTCTAGAGCAGGTGAAAAAAAATTTAGCTTGGAAGAAAATATTCCCACTCAAGGAAAGAGCTAATATTATAAGGATAGAGAATTTTTTTCTTACTCAAATAATCAAGTTTGATGAATATTAGTTAGAAGAAAACAACACAAGAAACAGAGACAAAAGTTTTATTTAATTGAGTCCATATGGAGTATGTTTCTATATTTTATTTTATTTTTTATTTTTTGGTCTTTTTGAGAGAGGGCCTCCCTGTAGCCCTAGCTGCCCTGGAACGTACAATGTAGATCAGGCTGGCCTCAGATCTCACAGAGATCCACCTGCCTCTGTCTCCTGAGTGCTAGAATTAAAGGTACATGCTACCATGCCTGGCTCTGTATTTCAGTTTTTAATGTTAATTCTTTTTTTTTTTCCAGAATGATTTTTATATATCGGTTTCATATTAAGAAGGGCATTAACTTTGCTGGATTAATTTTTTTTTTGTTCATGAATTTTTATTTGCTGCTTTAAAAGTGGGATGGAGTCAGGGATGGTGGCACACGCCTTTAATCCCAGTGCTTGGGAGGCAGAGGCAGGCAGATCTCTCTGAGTTTGAGGCCAGCATGGTCTACATAGCAAGTTCCAGGCCAGCTGGGACTACAGGGAGACCCTGCTCAAATAGACCAAAGGATAAAATAAAATAATAAAATAAAAGTGGCATGGAAACTTAAATATTAGCTGACTTAGAGTTATTTTAGCTTCATTTGAAATTAATTTCAGTATTTAAATATGCAATTGTTTGATAAGTTTCAGTTTAATATGCGCAGTGAGATACAAGTTACTTGTATGAGCTTTGATAATATAATATCTATAATCCTCATCCAACAGTGACTTTAGATATTTTGAAAATAGTTTAAAAAATAAGTACAAGTTTTAGCCTTTTATTTTTTGAGGGGCAGTTGGATAAACTTTACCTATGTCTTGGGTGTGAAATTTACATATCAGATTGGCTAATGGGCTGAAGTGCAGTTAGAGAAACTCAGGAAATTCTGTTTGGAAAATCAGGAGTGTACAGTGGTTTTGACTGGAGTTGTTGAGTTCTCTTGTGTCTTGTTCTCTTTTCAGTGAAACCAGCAGTGTGTGTAGCAGCAGCGACACGGGGCTCTTTACCAATGATGAAGGACGGCAAGGTAATCTTGATCTCAGCTTTGGGACTTGGGTTCAGTCATTGATTCCAGTGATGATGGAGTGACTCACTGAGAATTTCGTGGTGGTTTGTTGCAGCACCCAAACTTTAAGGCATGCGAGAGTCACTTGAGGAACTGTAAAAATGGCAGACTCCTGAGCTGCTAGAAATCAAATAGATTTGGTGTTGGTCTCTAGAATCTGCAGTTTTCACATGCCCCTGAAGGGGTTCTTATGTTGTAGCTTGAATTTTGAGAATCATTCATTCAGGGGTCAGAGTGTCAAGACTGGGGCTTGGGAAGTTCCTTTTAATTACAACCAATGAATATTCTCATACATTATTCTTCTTTTGGACGAATATTCTTATTTTTACCAAAGGAGAATTTTACCTCATTTTTGAAGTTTAAACTTTTGAAGATTAGTTTTGGAGCCCTGTGAATAAATCTGTGTATATAGTATTTTGGATGAATATACACAAATTGTCTTAAAAATTCTCAAGTATCCCACTTAAATGTGTAGTGTGTCGTGTCCCCCGCACACGCCCAAAGAATCCTGAGTGATAGCCTTTGTACTCTTTGTGGTTTTTGTTTGTTTGTTTGGTGCTCTTGTTCTTTGTACCAGTTGGATTTTGTTTTTTAAATTTCCTTCTGTGTTATATAGTTGTTTAGTGTATTTTCCATTGAAGCTTTCCAAAGCAAGAAATTATTTATAACTAGTACTTCACGACTTACCCTCTTCCTTATTTCCTTATATTCTCTTGCAAGGAGCTCCTACATCAGGTTGTGAAGCCAGAGTGGAGACTGATCTGGTTGATCTCACAAGATCGCATTTAGTTAAGCAAGTCCTTTTTTCTATTACTGGATCATGAGTGAATTGTAAGAACCACTAAATCCCATTCTAGACTTATTGATTGTCAGAAAACATGATCTAATGAAATTGCAGTGCATGTCCTAAGAGATGCTTCTGTATAAGGTGAGATTGAACATGTTGAAGTACAGAGAAACTAGCCTTGTTCAACAGTGCCTTGTTCATCTATGTACCTGACTGGTGAGATGTATTTAGAGTAGTGCTTCTCAGAACGTGGTCTTCAGACAGCTTAGCTTCATGAAGGAACTCATTAGTTTTTGGTGCAAACCAGAACCAGACACTTTGGGGGACAGGGCCCAGGAGTCTGTGTGTCGTGTGTCATGTGTCTTCCTTCTCATCTACCTCCCAGTTTTAGCAAGCCCTTCTTGTGCTTGTGATGCAGGCTGAAGCTTGAGAATCACTGTTTGAGATGAAACATTGAGTAATTTCTTTGGTGCTTGGCTATAATATCTGTTGCTATTTGCAGAATGCAGATTTCATTGGCTCCTGAGGAAATACCCACATTAATTTTATAATTATTTTGAGGTTTTAGTGACTTTGTGTGTTTGGCATCTGAGCAGCCTCTCTGGGATCCAGTATGTGTTAGAGATTGAATGCACCAGGAACACTAGATGCTTTGGTAATAATTTCCTTCATTCTTGCAATTTTGAAAGGAAATAAGGTAGCAAACATGAAGTTGCCTCTTTCTTACTTAACTTGTTGACAGGAATAAATTCTAGTAGAAACTGCAGTAGTGTTGTAGCTAATAAGAAGTTTGAACCAGGAATCTGGATAATATGGGTTAGCTGTGGCCTTGGGCAAATGGTGTAGCTGCTTGAAGAGCCTTAGGGAATTACCTTGCTTGTTTCTGTGGTTACTTATTTTTTTCTGGTAGCTTGGATTTCTGGTGTCAAAATTATTTTCTGTCCCATAAATGAGATAACAAGACAAAAACAAAGTGTGGACATGTATTCTTTATTAATCTATTATGACAAAATGTGAATATAGTTAAAAATCCTCCAGCAATAACAGTTCGTTTTGAATTGAGGACTATTTATGACGTTGAACCTGAAGTTCATCTATACCGTGGATAATGGGAAGGAAGGCAGTTAATATTTTGTGGAAAAGAACTTGGACTTTGTTAATCAGGCTCTGAGTTTAAATTCTGGCTTTATTTGTTAACTGAGCACTGACTTCTCTGGACGTTAGTTGCCTCATTATAAGTTGGAGTTAGTGTGTGGGACTTGGAAGAGATAACATATTTATAGATTTTCAACATGAATCCTGAAAGGTTGTAAGGATTAGGTAATAGTCTTACCAGTTTTCACTATTAAAATGGTCTAGTCTAAAACAGTGTGATATTCATGTGAAACTACTTTACTGCCTCAGTTTTCATCTTAGTGTGTATCAAGAAGAACTAGAAAATTTTTTTGGTACTTTGGTTCATTTGAAAATATCACAGCCGTAGCATTAAGAAACCATCCTGGACCCACCGCAGGCCTCTCTCCAGGGTATGTCCATCGCGCCCTCCGCGCCTTGGCTTCCCCAGCCCCATTCACCCTTCCATCTCCTCCGCCATTCTCTCCTCCGAGTTTGGGCCCGGCCCCATTCCTTGTCTTGGGGCCCCAGACACCTGGGGAACCAATACTGCTTCCTGATCCTTTTCATCCAGACCAACGTAGTGCCTTCTCTGGGCCCCAGGAACACTGCTTCTGGGCCTGGCCCCACCCTCACCTCCCTCTGCTTCCCTGGGCCTCTACCACCTGCCAGCCTCTTTCTGGGACATGGGAGCTGACCTTCCCTTTTCCTGATTCTTTGCATCCAGATCAACCCAGCTCCTCAGTGCAGTCCCCAGGAGTCCTTGGGGCCTCTTTCTGCCCCATCTGCCTTTGCATCTCTGGGTGGCACGGCCACCAGCTGCCCTAGACCAGTATCTTTTCTGGGCCAGGCTCCCAAGCCGCTGCTCCCAGGCCAGCCAACCCCCAAATTCCTGAGGGCAGCATCTTTCCTGGAGGGATCCAGTCCTTGGGAGAAAGCCTGAGAGCATCTGAGCCTCATCTCACTTAGGCCTCTGGGAACTCCTGAAGAATAAAGCAACTAGGCCACTCCAGTATAAAATCAAAAGACAGAACCTGAAGCTTAGACCAACCATCTTTTCATGCCTAACAAGTAAACCACAAAGGCACATAAAGCTTACAAAAAGAATCAGACCTAAACTTGAAGGCTTGAGTCTCACACAAGAATCAGAAACTACAAAATAAATTCATGTCAAATCACAGAGAAAAAATAATAACATGAAAAACCAAAATAACATATGCCCACGAAATACCAATAGTCCTCTAGAGGACTACGATGAGAACTGCCTAGAAATAATGCAGGACATGGAGCTCAAAAGAACAGTTACAAACATGATAAAAGAATTCAGTGAATTTAAAGAACACACAAACAAAGAAATCAAAGAACCGAAGGAAGATAGGGATAAACTTCTGAATGAATTCAGAAAAGAGCTAGAAATACTGAAGACTACTCAGGATGAAATGAAGAAGGAAGAGAAATACTCAGTAAGCCAATTAGAAACGACAGTAGAAAGTCTCAACAATAGGATGAATGAAATGGAAAACAGAATATCAAGACTGGAAGATAAAGTGGATGAACTAGACCACTCAAACAAAGATTATGAAAAATTTAAGCAATCAGAAGAATGGAATGTGCAGGAATTGTGTGGCACCATAAAAAGACCAAACTTGCGAATCATAGGCATACAGGAAGGAGAAGAATCCTAAGATAATGGCATGGACCAGATCTTCAACAGAATCGTGGAAGAAAATTTCCCAAAATTAAAGAAAGACATGCCCATACAAGAGATGGCACGTCATATTAAAAACATTAAACGTACAAAACAAAGAGACAATACTGAAAGCTGCAAAAGAGGAACAACAAGTCAAAAGGAAAACCCATTAGGA